AAAAGAAAAGAGAAAGGAGAGAAGAGGAGAGGGAAGGAAAAGAAAAGAGAGAAAAGGAAAAGAAAACCCTTTCAGCATTTCTTAGCACCTTACTGAGAAGCAATACAAAACCAGGTTCTTGGTATGACTCACAGACCACTCAGCTTGAAACCATACCTCATCATTCACTTGAGGGTTTGTCACAAAGCAGCCAATTTGGTGCAGGAAGCTCCCCCCTTCCCCCACCTCTCATATTGTGGTCATGCAATCTCTCCCTCAGGGTGCAGTCATCCTGTTGGCAGTGATTCACAGTCTGAGAGGCAAAACTCAAATCTGTTTTGTATGAAATATTAATCCCAGGTAAATATGCTAGATTTCAGTCATCCATACACATTTCTTTGAAAGATTATTGTCAGGGTGACTTCAAATTTGGCTTGAATTTGGCAGCCTGGATTTACTACCACATTGATTGATTTATAGTGTAGTATGATTGCCTTCATTTTGTCTATGCTGCATTTTGGGGCATCTATTATTTACATTTTTACATGCTTTTAATATGCACACATTGACCAGATACAATTAAAAGTTAAATGGAAATTGAAAAAAACAAGAACTGTGAAAGGAAAGGAGAAACAAAACTGAATAGAAGAATCTATAGGACAATAAGATTTTTTAACACCACATTCATATATTTAACCATCATTTCTTTTTCCAATTGCTCTTTTAACAATTTCATGAATTAACAGTGCCACTGTAAATAAGTTGTTGTTGTTGTTGTTGTGGTTGTTGTTATTCATTGCACAGTCAGCCAGATGTTCAGACTGGATTTGGCATTTTTGTCTACCTATCGAGTCTTTACCAAGGACCTGGGATAGGCAAATCTGGATGTTTGATGGTGTTACAAATATTGCTGCAGGATGGAAGCTATTCCAAGTAAAACTGCCTTCTGCAATTGACTGATGGCAAATTTGTCAATGCCTATGGTGTTCAAGTGGTGCTCCAGTTGACTGCACCCAAGGTTGTT